CACGCCACCATCAGCAGCCTAAACAAAGATTTAAAGCAGTGTTTCTCAACCAGTGGGTCGCGACCCACTAGTGGGTCGTTGTTCGTTCTATAGGGGGTCGCGAGACTTTCTCTGTGTTAACCGGCACAGCCAATAAGTGGGCTTCACAAAAGGCTCATTGCAACAGGCTACGTTTACATGCAACCAAATTCAAATAATCCGTTAGTAAACGCATTGACGGTTCAATCGGACTAAAAAGCCTTCATGTAAACACCTTAATCGATCCGATTGAGCTCGATCCGAATAAGATTTCAATTCGATTGAAAGGGGTGGTTTATTCCTTTTCTAATCCAACTGGGAGGACATAAACGCTTGATCGGATTGAAAACCGAAACTAAAGGACTGCGCATAGCATAATGATGTATGACGCGCTGAACGAGCTGTTCTTCCTTTTGAGTAAATGTCGTATAAATGAGCGTACCATCATTCTAAAATTCTCCTTTCACTCAGCGTCTGTGAAGTGGAGCAGGACAACATCCCACCAGTCCTTGTTTCAGACTCTCATTCACAGACGACTGGTTTTGGGTGCTGGGCATTTTTACTGCGTGCATAAGCAGCACGGGCACGGCACAACGGTTCATGCTCATTGTCTCCAAATTATGACCAGCAATGGATAAATATTAAGTCTGCTGTTTAAAACAAATAAAGAACCAATGTAAGAGAATAGTTAGTATGCGCAAACAGCGGGAAACTCTGTATATTCGTGCAGTGTGCGCATGTCAAAAACATAAAATTCGATTTGAATCTTGTGACATAAAAAACGCGCACATTAACCCTAGCGTTCACGTCTTCAAACAACACGAGCGCTGTCTTGCTCTCTATCCCTCGCGCATATTAATCAAAATCAATTGACACGATAGTAAAAGGTTGGAAGACCGCACTTTCACGTGGAGCATTTGGAGATTTTTAGAGATTAGAGACTCTAGGAACAACATCTCAATGAACAACATCTCAACACTAAATTATAAAGGCCTGTCTCATGTAGACGCCTGTCTCAAATACAAGCCGGTGCAGTTCGACGATTTGGGAAAATAAAGTTTTATGGTATCTTTGTGAGTCGGGATTTTCAACAGTGACTGCAACGAAAACAAAAAGCATGACAACAGTTTGTGTGCGACACTAGTCACACTTTTCCAAATTCTACCAAGTCTGGATATGATCAGAGCGGCAGTCTCAAGGCTATCACATTAACGTGAGTAAAAAAATCAGTTTGCCTCATAGTCTGCCTAATTATTGAAAATGTTTGTGTGTTTTCGTGATTATCATTAATTATAATAAGCATATAGGCCTGCGTTGTAGCCTATAGATCTAAAGACTAAAGAGGCATTTCAGTTATTCTTGATTTATTTAGTGGGTCATATGACTGGCATACAAAAGAAAAGTGGGTCGCAGTAGGCAAAAGGTTGAGAAACCCTGATTTAAAGCATTTATTTTATTGTTTACATTTCTTTAAAAAAATTACCAAATTTGAAAGGTGAGACTTTGTTTAATATGTTGAAAGCTGCAGTCCGCAGCTTTTCCTCTTTGTCGCCATCTCTGTTTAAAGTCTGCAATTGCAGTCATTCGCGGAATTATTAATTTTACGTGAGTTGTACATCGCCATGAAACAGCGCGGATGAACACAATGTTGTGAGGAGAGTGCGCGTCGCGGCTGTCGGTCACAGCGCCGGTGTGGATAACGTTACTGGCATTCAGAATCACACAATCTACTTTTTGGAAGTACAGGATGACCAACATAAGAATTTTCACCGGAAAATGTCATCTGAACAAGTAACATTCACTTTTGTTCAGATCAACTAACTTACAGGGAAAATGCATTGATTGCACTGCAGTAAATCGCGCTGATTAAATCTAACGATCGCTTATCATGTCGAACCGTGCAAATTATACTTTGTTCTCAAATTGTTAATGTTAACAACATCAGCTTTGCGTGACTACATTTAATGTGTTTTATGATTACCTGTAGTTCAGAATTCATATTCTACATAATAGCTAAACGAGAAAGGCACAACAAAGGAAAATCCATAACTGTATGAATTAAGCAAACAATTTTGGTACTGTTACACGATTGAACTATTGAAATGTCTTACTTGTCCAGCAGAAAAAAGCGTCTCTTCTTCCGTTTTGAACCCCTTCAAAACACGGAGTTCACGCACCAAACGCCCTGCCTATGTTCCTTGTGTTCACATGAGACGGTTGCTGTCTTTCTCTAGCCACTTTAAATCCGAAGTACGAAGTCTTTTGGGTTTTATAACGGGTGAATCTCCAGTTGACACTGATGATTGTCGTTTGGATCTTTCTGGATCCGCCATAAGTTCAATTATGTAAAGTGCTGCGAGAAAAGGCATCTCTACTCTCCCCAACGTCAACATCCTCACGCGCAGTATAGCTAGCCGAAACTCCTTCTTTATGTGTACGGATGTGACGTAATGACGCAAAGACATGCTCGAATTTCCCGCGGAAACCCACCAGTACCACTGGAAATAAAATCATTATTACAAGCTAACCGTTTTGAATCGAGCTACGGCAAGCAGATAGTTTTGAACACTGGCTGAATATGTTTTTTTTTAAATAATTATTTTGGATTATTTTTAACTTGAAAAAAGTTACGGACAGCAGCTTTAATATCAAAAGTAACCGAAAAGTAACCTGGTCTGTCCTGTCTGTCAGCGATGTATTTTTCACTGCGTGATAATATTTTTTACAGTCTGTGGTGAGAACATGGTGTGTGTGTGTGTGAGCGGCGTGGCTTGTCGGACATAGCGACAGTAGCTAAGGAGGGCGGGTCTTTGCGAACGGTCAATTATGATTTGTACTTCTTGAATTTTACTGCAGAAAGCCAATTCTGTCCAAAGTCAATTACACTAACTTACTTCTCCATTCTGATGTTCAGTTTTAACTTCAACAAATGCAGACAAAATGCACTGAGTAGATAGCATGTGAGGATATTTGCAATAACGAACATGTCAATAGGTGTAATATTTTGTCTATTAAATGTATGTCTGCATATATTGCAAGATGTCTGTTTCCTTTGTTTGTGTAATTGTGTTTTAGACACTTGAAGAGCCACCTGTGGCAACTCAACATGGGTAGCAGCAAAGGAAGTTTCAAAAAAAGCTAGTGATCGTCTAGATGAGGAAGGCATGGAGATCGCTGTGTGCCGGCATGGCTTTTTCTTGAGGGGACTCAATATGTACCGTGTCGAAGTATTCGCCTACCCACTTTATCTACAGCAGGACCTGGCAAGCCGCCATAGCATACATTTTTTTTGCACGGATCATATGTGCAGATACTGGCCCTATCTGCAGCGGGTGGCGGGCCAGTTTAGGGAGTTTGGGCGGCTCCTCAACATGAAGCCGCTTCTTTCGGTGCTCCACGCCAAAGCCCACTCTGCAAAGTGTGAAGTAAGCAACACCCATGTATTACACAGACATTTTCATTTCATCATTTGCATAATTGTTTCATTTTGTCAAAAAATCACAACATGTTGCAGATCCAATGGAGTGGGAAATACCAACCTGGAGCGGGTAATACCCTTGGTGAAGAGGTACAATGGTCTCTGATATATACAGCATGTGTAATGAATCAAATAATACTAATAGATACAATAGACCCCTTCAATGTTTGTAGACATCGAACATCTAGGTTGTGTGAGCGTGCAGGATGGGGTCAGAAAAACGGCGCGGCTAATAGACCGGCATGTCTGTGCCACCACAAGAACGGGCAAAGTACCATAATAAACTTGTTTTAGCTAATGGCGATTGTCTGCCTGATCCCGAGCTCCTAAAAGAATGGGTAGACAACGTTAGCAAGTGGCCAGATATTCACTGGCCCGCCATATACAACTATTTGGTGGACAAGCCGAGTGTTTACACACGTGAAAAACTAAGAGCGTACAAATCGCTAGACGTTTATAATTACGTAGTCTGTGGGCATGTCCAGACGGTTTTATATAGCTATATAGGCTGACAACTGACTGTTTTCTTTGCCAATGCCAGAAGCCAAGCATCGATTAGTGGTAACTGTCTGTGGTGAGCAGGACGGCCGAGGGACGTGAGAGAACGTCGCGAGGCCGGTGGTGCGATTGCTAATGAGCAGCACCTGTGAAGCACACCGGTCTCGCATCTCTCACGGAGGAGCGGAAGCATAAAGGGAGAGCGACGGGGTGGATGATAGAGAGAGGAACAGGCCTGCTTTTGTTTGTATTTTGTTATATTTTATTTTGGTAGCCAGCAGTCGTCCGTGAGGGGCTGCTGGCAGGTATTTATATTTTATTTTCGGTAGCCAGCAGTTCCGTGAGGGACTGCTGGCAGGTATTTTGTTTGTTTATTTTATTTAAATAAAGTTTTATTTGATTGTTCTCCGGTTCCCGCCTCCTTCTTCCCTGAACATTGCTACACTGGTGCCGAAACCCGGGAAGAGGGAGGAACGCGCTGTCAGAGAGTCCTCGCCGCTGTGGGGAATCCGCGGTGCCATCGAGCATGGTGCGCGAGTCGCCGGACTGGCGGCCATGTACGCTCGAGGCGGTGCGCTGGAGTGAGTTGCCGGGGGGGCGGTCGAGCTCGCTGCCGGCCGCCTGGGAGTTGGAGGGGCGGCTGCCGTCCGGGAGGGAGCGGGGGAGTCGCCGCCGCTTGCCGTGGGCCGGAGCCTGCTGCCGTCCACCAGAAAAGGGGAGGAGCAGGGAGCAGGGGACTCCTACCGTCTGCCCTAGAGCCCAAGGAGCCGTCGCCGTCCACCGGGCGGCGGAGGAGCGTTGAGCCGTCCACCGAGGGCTACCCAGCGTCATCGCCAGGCACCGCGGAGGAGATCGCCCAGCTGGTGGGGGACCAGTTGACAGCGCGTTGTGGGAACCGGACCAAGTTTTTTTTTTTTTTTCTCCCCTCTCTCGATCTGTCGCTCCTCATGCTTCCGTCTCCGTTTCCCTCGGCTTGTCGATCCATACCCCCAGGGATCGGGGGGGGGGGAGTAGGCACAGTCTCGGGTGTACCCCCCGGCCTGTGAGGGGTGATGGGGGTATGTGGTGAGCAGGACGGCCGAGGGACGTGAGAGAACATCGCGAGGCCGGTGGTGCGATTGCTAATGAGCAGCACCTGTGAAGCACACCAGTCTCGCATCTCTCACGGAGGAGCGGAAGCATAAAGGGGGAGCGACGGGGTGGATGATAGAGAGAGGAACAGGCCTGCTTTTGTTTGTATTTTGTTATATTTTATTTTGGTAGCCAGCAGTCGTCCGTGAGGGGCTGCTGGCAGGTATTTATATTTTATTTTCGGTAGCGGGACTGCTGGCAGGTATTTTGTTTGTTTATTTTATTTAAATAAAGTTTTATTTAATTGTTCTCCGGTTCCCGCCTCCTTCTTCCCTGAACATTGCTACACTGTCGTTTCACATGTGTTCTGTTGTATTTCTTGAATGTAACGTTATTTTGTTGTCTGTATAGGCCTACAGATGCACTTTTTCTTGTTTCTATGCAGATGCACATACATTTTTAGGACATTAACAATTCCATTACATTATCCAGTAGCTTAAATAAAACAAGTGACAGTAAAAACACAAGCCTCTTTGATCGTTGCAATTTCCCAGTCTGCCTGTTTAATAGCTAGGCAGCCACAGATGTCGTCTATTTTTTTTTTTTTACGGATGAGATCCTGCCGGAATTCTGAAAAACTTGACTCCACAACTGGTGCGATTTTCACAGTCCACGACGCAACAAGTAAGCATTTTTTTCTTGACGAGAAATACTCTGGTTAACACACAATTCAATGGGATGGAATGAACTTTTCTGACCCCGACATGCGCACTGCGAACAGCGAATTTTCCTGTGACGTCAACCGTGAAGGGGTCTATAGGTTTTGAGTTTATACCAGTTTTGCGCTCTTTCAATTTTCATAGGTGGAACAAGTAAATAGCTTCCTCTCCAAGGTGGCTTTGACTACCAAGTACATGACAAAAGCTGGTAAGTATTATCGTGTAGAACATGAAAAAATGTACAGTGGAATCCTCCATCTATACACTCAATATCTGCTGTTTCAGTAGCTTACACTTGATCACAGGCCAAAAAACATCACACAATCAGTTCACTATTCTCCATTGTTTCATTATTCACAGTTCTACAGACCATCACCCACAGGTAGCCTACTAGGGATCTACTGTACACAAGTTTGGCCAAACAATAGCTGTACCTCATATCCAAGAAATAGCATTGTAATTAGTATTAGTTGTTGTGTAAATATGTGTTTGAATTGCTTTACAGCCAGGATGGACATAATCACTATATACGTGATTGGGTGGAACCAGAGGAAAACAGAAACCTTGCACATCACACTCAGTCAACGATATCACAAGGTCTACACAAAAATCCTAACCGAAATAACCTTCTAGTCAGAATATGCTGCATTATGTTCATGTAGTGTCTTTTTGGTTATTTATTGTTTTGGGGTTTTTTTGTGGATTGCTATTCTTTTTGTAGGTGGTACAGAAAAAACAGATAGAGGAACAAAAACTCAATGAACTGATGGCACAGCTGAACTGCACACCAGAAACACAAGACCAGTGGGTGACAGATGTGAAAGAGTGGGCACTAAGAGGTACGACAACAATGCTAATAACCACTCAATTCCATCCAACCTTTTAATGCGCATTGGAACTATTCATATAAGAAATCCCGGTTGGAAACCCGTGAAATGCACATAATAACTTCTAATGCCCATAGATAATTGATTTGCTAGATGGGGGTGAATTAACTCTTGATGCGCATAAGGTATGATGGGAATTAATTTGATGTAAACAGTTTATTTGCATACATTCACATTTGTTGTATTGTGACACATCATGTTTTAATGGCACAGCTGGGTAAACGTCTTTAAGAAAAAGTAATTCTTAATGCACATAACACATGGATGGAAAAGCAAGCAGATGCACGTTTTCTTAAGCCACTATTTCATGAATGCGCATACAATATGCAAATGAGTTTCTTGACGAGAAATACTCTGGTTAACACACAATTCAATGGGATGGAATGAACTTTTCTGACCCCGACATGCGCACTGCGAACAGCGAATTTTCCTGTGACGTCAACCGTGAAGGGGTCTATAGGTTTTGAGTTTATACCAGTTTTGCGCTCTTTCAATTTTCATAGGTGGAACAAGTAAATAGCTTCCTCTCCAAGGTGGCTTTGACTACCAAGTACATGACAAAAGCTGGTAAGTATTATCGTGTAGAACATGAAAAAATGTACAGTGGAATCCTCCATCTATACACTCAATATCTGCTGTTTCAGTAGCTTACACTTGATCACAGGCCAAAAAACATCACACAATCAGTTCACTATTCTCCATTGTTTCATTATTCACAGTCCTACAGACCATCACCCACAGGTAGCCTACTAGGGATCTACTGTACACAAGTTTGGCCAAACAATAGCTGTACCTCATATCCAAGAAATAGCATTGTAATTAGTATTAGTTGTTGTGTAAATATGTGTTTGAATTGCTTTACAGCCAGGATGGACATAATCACTATATACGTGATTGGGTGGAACCAGAGGAAAACAGAAACCTTGCACATCACACTCAGTCAACGATATCACAAGGTCTACACAAAAATCCTAACCGAAATAACCTTCTAGTCAGAATATGCTGCATTATGTTCATGTAGTGTCTTTTTGGTTATTTATTGTTTTTGGGTTTTTTTGTGGATTGCTATTCTTTTTGTAGGTGGTACAGAAAAAACAGATAGAGGAACAAAAACTCAATGAACTGATGGCACAGCTGAACTGCACACCAGAAACACAAGACCAGTGGGTGACAGATGTGAAAGAGTGGGCACTAAGAGGTACGACAACAATGCTAATAACCACTCAATTCCATCCAACCTTTTAATGCGCATTGGAACTATTCATATAAGAAATCCCGGTTGGAAACCCGTGAAATGCACATAATAACTTCTAATGCCCATAGATAATTGATTTGCTAGATGGGGGTGAATTAACTCTTGATGCGCATAAGGTATGATGGGAATTAATTTGATGTAAACAGTTTATTTGCATACATTCACATTTGTTGTATTGTGACACATCATGTTTTAATGGCACAGCTGGGTAAACGTCTTTAAGAAAAAGTAATTCTTAATGCACATAACACATGGATGGAAAAGCAAGCAGATGCACGTTTTCTTAAGCCACTATTTCATGAATGCGCATACAATATGCAAATGAGTTAGATGCTAACACAACTATAGGTGATGGAAGCAGATGATTAAAGGGCCTTTTCAAGGGCATTTTCAGGGTAACAAGAAAAACATAATTTTCCATCTTAGGCAAAGGTAAAGGAAGCCTGGAGAAACAGCAGAGCAAAATCGAGGGACTGTTTCTCAGTTTGCAGCAGAGGAGGAAAGATCTACATTCTCGTAACGGTCTGTATAATGTTAGCTCCAAAATGGCCTACACCATTTTAGGATTCCCCTGTCTCATCCACGTCATGTCAGCGAAGAAGATTTTCATATCAATAAGGTTGATGTGATCGTTATGGATATGTTTTCTTGCACACTCATGTTGCAGGCAATAGTACCAAAAAACTTAGGGAAAGACGGCGGATATCCACACTTAAAGACAACCTGATAGAAGCAACAGTACAACAGTTCAACAGTACAACAGTTGCAACGGTACAACAGTTCATCGGACCAGAAAATTGACCCTGAGGAGGCAACCAGTGGAAGAGGAGGCTACATCTGGCCCTGGGAGGAAGAACCAAACGGTCAGACCCGACAATTTTTTTCCCCTTAAACACAGTTGAACTTTTACATTGACAGCGGTTTGAAGTTGAAGTTGCATTATGATTACAAGAGAAGGGATCAGTTTGTAATCAGCGTAAACTGTTACTTGTTTCCATTTTTATGTTTTGTCTACTGCTGGGATTGGATTAGATGTCAAAAGAAAGATGTTTGACCAGGTGATGCTTGTGAGTAGACTGGAGGAAGAAAAAGACATCCTCCTTTGTGAGATGACCCAGCATTGTCGTAACTTGCTGAGAAAAGTTGAGGAGTTGCAAACTGTCATTGACACCGGAAGCCATTTAAGTAAGTACTCAAATAACATTTTCTCGCTCACACTGAATTCATGAATGATGGTAAACTGCATACCAGTGCTTTGTCATGTCATTTTTATTTTTCAAATAAAATATATTCTGCGATCTCTTGTAAGGCTGCTCACAGACGCTGTCCAAGGAGGAAAGCAGAGGCCTAAGATGTGCTCTGCGTGGCAGATTACATCACGCTACACATCACCTGCAAGAAGTCAAGAGACAGTACACCTTGATCTTCAGGGATCAACTTGACAATGACTACTTCCATTACACAGAAGATGACCATACAAATGAAGACAGCAGTGAGGAGGAGGAAGACGAGGTGGATGAATTTACAGAAGAAGAGGAAGAAACAGCAGAAGACTGACTTGCAATATATAGATCGGTAGAGATCACTCACTCACACCACACACACTCACTCACTCACTCACACCACTCACTCACACCACACACACTCACTCACTCACACCACACACACTCACTCACACCACACACACTCACTCACACCACACCACACACACTCACTCACACCACACACACATTTACTTACACACTCATCCACTCACATCACACACTCATCCACTCACAGCACACACGCACACTCACACACCCACACCCACACACACACACACACTACACACTCTCACACCACACACACCACACTCACTCACTCCACTCACACACACCACACACACTCACTCACACCACTCACTCACATCACACACACTCACTCACACCACACACACTCTCACTCACACCACACACACTCACTCACACCACTCACTCACTCACACCACACACACTCACTCACTCACACCACACATACTCATCCACTCACATCACACACTCATCCACTCACAGCACACACGCACACTCACCCACACACACACACCCCACACACACCACACTCACTCACTCCACTCACACACACAACTCATACACCACACACACACACACACACACACACCACACTCACTCCACTCACACACACCACTCACACACACACACACTCACACACCACACACCCTCTCACACCACACACGCACGCACGCACACACACACACACCACACTCACTCACTCCACTCACACACACAACTCATACACCACACACACACACACACACACACACACCACACTCACTCACTCAGTCCACTCACACACACCACTCACACACACACACACACACACACACACTCACACTCATACACCACACACTCTCACACCACACACACACACCACACTCACTCACTCACACAC